CAGTGACGCCGGCGACCATCTGCGGCTGGCTCGGAGCCCAGCCCCATCCCAGCAGTAACGCCGAGGTCCTAAGCGATCCCAGTGCCGGAAGGCTGAGACCACCAGCTCCATGTACCCCGCTCACTGTAGCGCTAACCTGTTGTAACGAACTGGGACTGTTCTTAATGTGGTCTTTGAACGCTGAGTGGGGAGTGTTGGCTGGGAAGGCAGGGGAGTGTGGCTAGGATGGTCTGCATGGGGGGGATGGGAGACTGGCCTTGAGGGAAGATACCTGAGCATGTAAGGTGAGAACCCAGGGAGGGGTTAGAGGCCAGGTGACACCGCTGCCCGGGAAACTGGACAAAGGCTGGGGAGAGTCTTCAGAGCTGGCTGGTGGAAGGGCTGGGAGGCTCTGACCCCCCAAGGGGGCTGGGACACCCTGGGACCCCAAGATGGACCTATCTGAGGGGGGGTCCTGTTGTCTGTGCCTGCAAGACCTGTCTTGGACTGTATTCCTGTCATCCAAATAAACCTTCTGCTTTACTGGCTGGCTGAGAGTCGTGGTGAATCGCAGGAAGCCGGGGGTGCAGGGCCTTGGGTCCCCCCACACTCCGTGACACCTTTATCTACCAGGTGTCATGTGGTATGTCACCTGGAAACTAATGTCTTGCTGGTCATTCATGTTCTTGCGTGATGTACGTGCAGTGTGTAGTAAGAGTTATGGATACACGGTGGAATTACACTAACGGGTGTTTAAACCAGGCACGTCAGGGGAGTTGGTAAACAGGAAGGCGTCTTTGCTTCTATGCCCAGCCCAGGGTCAAGCAGAGACAATGCAGGTCCATTTATGTGTCAGACAAATGAAGCCCCAAGCTACCACCTGGGGCAGGAGAAAGCTTCCAGCAGGGAAGAGAAACTTTCTCTGGGCTATAAAGACAGGGGGTCTGAACCTCACGTGCTAAGCAATTGGATCACCTGATTGTGTCCAACATTTCTGGGTTATAACCATGTATGGAGTGAGGTGTTTAGTGACAGCCTGGCACACGCTGGTGATTAACAGCACCACCAAATGTCTGCACGGCCGTGACACTCCATCAGGAACTATGGGACACTGCGCTTCACAGAGTGTCCTAGCAAAGGAGAAACAGGTCCTTCCCCGCCAGCAGGGAACGTCACCGCTGTCCCCGTCTCCTACATCCATTAAGCATGGCGGAGTCACAACCTGGAAGCCCCATTTCCAAGCAGAGGATGGGAAGCCCACAGGAAGGGAAAAACATTCAGCCAATCGGCCTCTGGAAACAAGGACATTGGCCTTCGGGAGACATCGGCAAAGCCAGCTGCCATCTGTGACACCCGGCACTAGGCAGGCGCGAGGAGCAGGGCTCTGGCAAGCCGAGAAAGGTGGGTCCTTCAAGCCAGAGGAGGGGGGGTGAAGTCTCTGCAAACTGAATGTAGGTGAGGAACCTGTGTAGGCAAAGAGCTTTCACCAAAAGAAACCAGCCCCTTGCACGTCTGCGGAGAGCCAGCCAGCCATGGCTGGGAAGGAGAAATCCACCTTGAACAAAGCCCAGGTCACTGGAAAGTGTCGCTGTCTGTCTCCATTCCTTATGTACCCTGATGGCTACTTTGTGACTCGTTTGTTTATTTGTACGATAAACCAGCTCCGGGCGGTGCGGGAAGGGCAGGGTGGATTTGCCCCAGTTAGGGTGACAAGATGTGATCTGCTTTGGTCACTCTAAAGGAGCAAGGAGCCGTATTATTGCTCTGAATGGGCCGGAGAGGGCTGGGCACTGCAGGGCACATGGTTTTAGGAACATTCAGGACTGGAGTGTGTCGGGGCCTGGGATGAAGTGGGACATTTCTTAGTGTTTTGCATGAACCCTATGTGTGCCTCAGTTTCCCTGTGTGCTGCATGTGTAATGCGGGGATGGAAGTGGGGGTTGCAGAGGACCAGGTGAGACCTTGTCTAGCAGCCGGGACCCCAGACACAGCTTTGAGCTTGGGGACCCAGTGACTAGTGCCCGGGAGGCCCAGCCCAGCATGGGAGCCAGACGGTTACGGCCAGCGGGAGGACAACGGGCTGAGGAGAGAGAGGCCAGTTCCAGCCAGGGCGGGACAAAGGCCGGAAGAGAGAGGGTGCAGGCAGCCTGTTTACCTGGGACGGAGGACACAGGTCAGATGAGGGGCTGGTGGGGGAGGGGATATTAGGTGGTTGGCTGGAAGGAGGGGGCGGGGCGGGGCTGGCCTGGGGACAAAAAGCCACCTGGGCCCATGGGGACCGGGACAGACCCAGCTGGCCAGGCCCGAGGGCCCTGAGAACTGCCTGGCCTGGGTCCACCTGTGTGACTGGCCGAGTCACTGCAGGCTGGAGATCAGGGGGCGTTGCTCCCTCTGGGGGGGAGGCCCTGGGGGCCCAGAGCGAGTGGGCTCCCTGAGGGGGCCACGGCAGAGCCAGGCGTGCTGGGGGCCCAGAGGTACGTTGCTGGGAGGGGGTGGGGCAGAGGGCCTAGTCCCAGAGACCGAGGGGGGGGGGGCCTGTCGCACTGAAGGGGTTCTATGAGTCAACAGTGTGCTCTTGTTGCCAAGAAGGCTAACGGCATTTTGGGGTGTATAAGTAGGGGCATTGCCAGCAGATCGAGGGACGTGATCGTTCCCCTCTATTCGACAAAGCCCTGGCTGGGATGATTTAGTTGGGCCTGGTCCTGCTTTGAGCAGGGGGTGGGACTAGATACCTCCTGAGGTCCCTTCCAACCCTGATATTCTATGATTCTCCCCGGGACTGTACGGAGCCCAGAGCCGGGGACTGTCTGGGACAGGGCCCCCTGGCCTGTGGAAGCAAGCGGGGCTCCAGCCAGGGTGCTGGGGAGTGAGCGTGTGGGGCACACACACTCGGGGCGTGACCGGCGGGCTAGGAGCTACCGGACCCAGGGCGAGCGGTGCCAGCCCCCAGTGCTGTGACCTGCCTCTGGGCTGAACATACCTCACCCCCTCCATGGCTAGGAGACCCCGCCCCACTTCTAACCCCTCATCTGCATCACGGCAACGCGACACACCTGGGCAGGGAGCCCTGGGCACTGCGGGGACTCCAGCCAGCCCAGCCTCCGCAGCACGTCTCCTCCGCAGCCAGGCTCCTGCCAGCACATCCCACCTGCCCACGGCATCAGGCCAGGTTCAAGGTCTCGGCCCTTCCCTCTGGGGCACCCCAGGGCCCGGGCCCAGCGGATCTCGGAGCCGAAAGCTCCAGGGTGGGGATGGAGGTCGACAGCTCTGTCCTCAGGCCCTCACCAGGGCCAGGCTCGCCTGGGTGGGAGACGGAGCTGCCACGGGGCCTAGTCTGGATGAAACAAGGACCAGCCGAGCCTCCCCGGCCGTGCCCAGCTCCAGGCCTGTGGAGCCGACCGGCCCCCCCGAGAGCAGTCCCGCGACAGGGGCTGTGCCCGGCGACGATGGGGGCTTGGGCGGGAACTATATGGAATAACGTGGGGGCGCGTCGCCGGGCAGGGACGGTAACTGGGGTCCCGGCCTGTCCTGCCGCACTCACAGGGCTCCCAGCCACTCACCTCAGCGGAGCAGCCCACCCCACAGCTCAGCCGTTTCCGGTACCTCTGGGGCAGACAGCAGAGCAGGCGGGGCAGCACGGGGTAGATAGTGCGAGGGTTGACGGTCGCTCCCTTGGTGGGACCTGCCAGGGCGAGGGACAGAGCACGGGGGTTACACGGGCCCCTGCGCCCCTCAGACTGTCCTGCTCCTGGTGCCAGGCCAGGCCCTATGTCCCCACTTCAGCCTGCCCTTCCCCAGGCCTGGCGCGCAGAGACCCCCGGTGCCGGGGAGGCAGGGTTGGGTCTATTCTCCCCTGGGGCAACCCAGCCTGGACCGGCCACGGCCAGGAGCCCGCAGCCACACGGCACCCACGGCTGTGCCTGGGGCAGACCGCAGCCCCTGGCCTCAGGACAGACGCCCCCCAAGGGCAGCGCTGAATGCTGGGCCGTAGCCTCTGCTCTCCGGTCATGGGCATCCAGCCCCCAGCCTAACAGGGAGCCTGGGGGGCCCCAAACCTGAGCTCCGCCCGCAGCCACGAGCCCTTCATTCCCCCGCCCCTCAGCCCCTCCCTCCCGCCCCCACACAGCCGAGAGTGGGATTTTCTGTCCTGTCCCTGACCTACGGGCCTGGCCACGACCCGCCGGGCTCAGGGCTGCCAGCCTGTGGGGGCTGCTCTTGGGTAGGAGACAGGAGGTGGGGGCGCAGCACCGCTGAAGGCTAGGACCAGCTAGAGCCGCGACCAGGCAGACAGTGGGAGCCCAGGACAGACCCATGGACAGTGGGAAGCTCCGGCAGGCAGGGATCTGGTTCCTGGAGCAGGCTGGCTCTAGCAGCCCTGGCGTCGGCCGGCAGGGACTTAACCCCGACTTCCCTGGGCCAAGCCAAGGGCCCCCCACGAGAGCTGCTCTGGGGGAAAGGCTGCCTGGTGTTCCTGCAGGCACTGGCGGGCACAGGGGTCCCTGCAGAGCGGCCGAGTCTCTCCCGGGCATCTGGCTCAGCGGGACATGCTGGGCAGGGCGATGGGCTGAGGCAGGAGACCTCCTCTTGCGGGACTGGCACACCAGGGCGTGCTCAGAACTGGGGTGTAGCCAGATCCTCTGGATCCATGAGAACCTCTCACCCCCCCCGTGCACAGTCAGGAGCCCCCCCACACGTACCCGTGAGCAGGCTGACCAACAGGCCCACCAGGATGACGGTGGTGGAGTTGTGGGCGCTGTACCACATGTACGACAGGCTGTAGAATTTCTGGAGCCCCGAGAGGCTGTGGGGGGAACAGCCGGGTTAGGGGGCAGCTGGGGACCTGGCACCCGCACAGGCTCCAGCCGCCGCTGGACGTCTCTGCTCCCTCGGCGGGCCCAGGGCCCTGCGTGCCTCCGTCTGCAGCCCGGCAGGAGGTTCACGCCTCTGCACCCCTTCGGGGGATGCTCCTTTGATCTCCCAGCAGCCTCCAGCGGGGACACAGCACCCTCCCCTGCGCCTGGCAGACACCGGACCCCAGTCCCCAGCACCCTCCCACCGCGGAGCCCAGTCCCCAGCACCCTCCCCCCACGAACCCCAGTCCCCAGCACCCTCCCCCCACGGCCGGCAGGCACCGGAGCCCAGTCCCCAGCACCCTCCCCCCGCGGAGCCCAGTCCCCAGCACCCTCCCCCACGGCCAGCAGGTACCGGAGCCCAGTCCCCAGCACCTCCCCCCGCGGAGCCCAGTCCCCAGCACCCTCCCCCGTGGCCAAGATGCTCAGGGACGGGCTGAGGCCAGACCCCCCTGCAGCACGGCTCCCCCACTCACCGCTTTGGGGCCGGGGTCGAGGTCATCAGGGTGGTGGCGATGGCCGTGCTCAGGTTGCTGGCCTGCGGGAAGTCGGTGATGTTGGACAGCGGTGGGGCCGAGGGGGCTGCCCGCAGGTTGGACACCAGGCTCCCAATGCCGATCCAGAAGGCCATGGCCAGCCCGGCTGCCAACCCGGTGATCGCACCCTGCACACGGGGACAGCAGTCAGGGGTGGCCCGTGCAGCTCCGGGGACCTCCCTGACCCCGAGGGGCTGCTCCACCCCGCTGAGGAGGCACCGAGACCCCTGCCCAGATGGTGGAGGGGCCATGCCCCAGCTGAATCCATCTCCCTGCTGGGCGCGGCCTCAGTTTCCCCCGTGCTGTGTCGGCTGCAGCGGAGCTCAGCGATTCACAGCGGCTGGGGCCTGGCCAGTACCGAGCCTGCTGCGCCCCCCGCCCCAGCCAGCCCCGAAGGGGATGGGGGCAGACACAGGCCCAGCCCGGGGCCCGCAGACCCTAGGGAGGGACACTCACGGTGGGGTTGGCACACGGGAAGAACATTCCTAGGCAGAAGAGTCCCAGCAGTGGGCCGCCCACCATGCCGAAGATGCTGATGGCAGCCTGTGGGGAGACAGCGCGTCACCCCTGCAGCCAGGGCCCAGCCCCCGAGCAGCGGGGCTCCCTGCCGCAGGCTGGGACACAGAGAGGGGGAGACATGTACTAGCAACAAGCCCCTTTGGGCACTGCCGGGCGTTCAGAGGCAGAGGCCAAGGGACAGGGAAGTGCTGGGAGGTGAGCTGGGGACGTCTCCGCGGAAGCAATGGAGGAGGAGAGACCTGGGTGTATGGGTCCATCACGGGGGGACTACGAGCCGCCAGTGTGATGCGGCCATGATAAAGGCTAATGCAGGCCTAGGGTGCGTCAGGCGTGGGATTTCCCGGAGAGATGGGGACGTGCTAGTATCATTATACTAGGCACTAGTGAGCCCTCGGCTGGAACCCGCGAGCAGGGCTGCTCTGCCGCGGGTAAGAAAGATGAACTCAGACTGGAAGAGGTGCAGAGAAGGGCGACAAGGCTGATCGGAGGAACGGAGAACCTGCCTTACGAGAGGAGACTCAACGAACTCGGCTTGTTTAGCCTGACCAGACGCAGGCCGAGGGGAGATCGATCGCTCTCTCTAAATCCAGCCCAGGGACAAACACCAGGCTGGGAGAGGAGTTATTGAAGCGAAGCGCCCATGTGGACACAAGAATACGTGGCTAGAAACTGGCCATCAACAGGTTTAGACTTGAATTTAGACGAAGGTTTCTCACCACCAGAGGAGTGAAGTTCTGGAGCAGCCGCCCAAGGGGAGCAGTGGGGGCAAAACCCCGAACTGGCTTCCAGGCTGAGTGTGATCAGGTGGGATGGGGCTGCCGACGATGGCATGGAGCCAATCTGCGACCGCTAGCAGCAAATACCCCCAGCGGCCGGTGATGGGACACTGCAGAGAATTCTTTCCCAGCTGTCTGGCTGGTGGGTCTCACCCACATGTCCAGGGTCTGACTGATCCCCGGATTTAGGGCGGGGAAGGAATTTCCCCCCGGTCAGGTTGGCAGAGACCCGGGGGTGGGGGGAGGTTCGCCTCCCTCTGCAGCCTGGGGCCCGGGTCACTCGCTGGTTTGAACTAGTGGGAATGGTGGAGTCTCTGTCACGGGAAGTCATGAGCCTGGGGGGGGTCATGTCCTACCTGCAGCATGGGGCCCATCATGGAGGAGAGGTAGGCCATCCCCAGGCAGAGCAGGCCATAACTGAGAGCTGGGGAGGAGAAAGGGGTTAGAAGCTGCAGCATCACTCAATACAACCACCTGCCCCTGGGCAGGGCACAGCCAGGAGCCTGGGGCAGCAGGGGCTGCGGGTCGGGAGTGA